CTCGTGATCACACAGGCTGGTGTGCTTCTTCCATGTGGGCTTTGTTGCTTCTCAGCTAGATGGCCACTTGTTTACCTTCAAGCCTTTAAGATCCCAGATGCTATATCTTTTGATAGCCGGGCACCATCAGCTTTCTCCACCACATTTGCTTATGCACCCATTTGTCTTCAGCAATCGTATTGGGAAGGTGAGCACACAATGATATGATTTTTTTTCCCTTGATGCCTGATACCTGATCCCATCGGCACCTCGTGACCACACAGGCTGGGGTGCTTCTTCCATGTGGGCTTGGTTGCTTCTCAGGTAGATGGCTGCTTGTTTACCTTCTAGCCTTTAAGACTCGAGATGCAGGTTTCTACCATTTGCGAATGAGTCAAAAAGGATGGACAGCGAAGGGTCCAGTTTGTTTCCCTGGAAGCAGCTAGGCCATTAGCTTCCCGTGACTCCTTCCCTATCCATCCGTCTGCCTTCCCTTCCCTGGACTACTGACAGCCTCCTCCGTGCCTGGCACGGGTTTGTTTTCCACTCAATCTTGGGACAGTCCACACCAATTCCCAAGCCCGACCCCAGCTTTCCATTGTCCCCAGGCTCACTCTGGCTGTGCCCACTGCACCGAGCCTGCTGGGCTTGTGGCTGTCCTGGCTCTCAGTAGGTGTCCTGTGCACTGCTGTCTCGCACAGGGGAAAGCCCCACTGTGGGGGGGCTCTCTAGAAGGGGAGGATAGGTCAAAAGATAAATTCTTTTTGTTTTTTAGTCCTTTTTAAAAGTCATTTTATTGGGGGTTCGTAGAGCTCTTATCATAATCCATACATACATCCATTGTGTCAAGCACACTTGTACATTTGTTGCCATCATCATTCCCAAAATATTTGCTTTCTACTTGAGCCCTTGATATTGGTTCCTCGTTTCCCCCCTCCCTCCCTCATGAACCCTTGACAATTGTTAAATTATTATTTTTTCATGTCTTACACTGACCGATGTCTCCCTTCACCCACTTTTCTGTTGTCCATCCCCCTGAGAGGGGGTTATATGTAGATCATTGTCATCGCTTCCCCATTTCTCCCCCCACCTTCCCCTTCCCCTCCTGGTATCACTACTCTCATTATTGGTCCTGAGGGGTTTATCTGTCCTGGATTCCCTGTGTTTCCAACTCTTATCTGTACCCGTGTACATGCTCTGGTCTAACCAGATTTGTAAGGTAGCATTGGGGTCATGATAGTGGGGGGGAAGAAACATTAAAGAACTAGAGGAAAGTTGTTTCATCAGTGCTATACTGCACCCTGACTGGCTCATCTCTTCCTTGTGACCCTTCTGTAAGGGGATGTCCAATTGTCTACAGATGGGTTTTGGGTCTCCACTCTGCGCTCCCCCTCAGTCAGATCGATATGATTTTTTGTTCTGGGTCTTTGATGCCTGATACCTGATCTCATCAACACCTCATGATCACACAGACTGGCGTGCTTCCAGGTGGGCTTTTGTTGCTTCTCAGCTAGATGACTGCTTGTTTATCTTCAAGCCTTTAAGACCCCAGATGCTATATCTTTGGATAGTTGGGTACCATCAGCTTTCTTCACCACATTTGCTTATGTACCCCCATTTTGTCTTCATCAATTGTGTCCAGAAGGTGAGCATCACAGAATGCAAGGTTATTAGAACAAAGTGTTCTTGCATTGAGGGAGTACTTGAGTAGAGGCCCATTGTCCATCTACTACCTTAATACTTACATATGTACATGCTTGTATTTAGACCTCTATAAATGCCCATTTGCCTCCTATTGCTTTCCTCTATTTCCTTTTGTTTTCCTCTTGTTCCACTATCATGTTCAGCCTTCATTCAGGCTTCAGTAATTTCTCTCAGTTACATTGCCCTTATTCAAGCCCTACCAGGCATCCTACACCCTCCTTGCCGTTAATTTTAGATCACTTGTTGTTCCCTTGTCCCTAGGTTTGTCCCTTTCCCCTGCCTCCCCCTCTCCCATGTCCCCTAGAACCATCGGTCTAGTTGTTTGCTCCTCCAGATTGTTTATCCTGCCAATCTTATCTAGATAGACCTGCAGAGACAATAAAAAGCACCAAAACAAGACAAAGCAAAACAATAGTGTGATAGCAGGTGCAGATTGGAGGGCATTTGTATCCAGGGGCCCGAGTTAAGAGGGGAAATAGCACAAGAAGCGGCAGGCTTGGCAGTGACGGGGTATGCGCCCATGATGCTTTTCCCACTGCCCCATCTCCCTCTCCCCCTCCGCTCCCCGAAGGCAGGCGTCTCCCCACCACCCCATACAGCCCTATGGAGAGAAGCCCCAAGGTGAACACACAGGTGACCGAATCAGGACTGTGTCAACACTGTCGTGAACACATGTCCTCCCTTTGATCTTGGCCATTCACAGGGCAGGATGATGAGAGAGCAGAGATCCAGCAGGAGGGCTGGCCGTGGGGACACACAATTGGGGCAGAGGTGTCCTGTCTGGGAGCAGCCTGAGATGGGTTCTTGGGGGGAGGCAGGAAGGCCCCGAGGGGGACTCTGAGCAGGAGAGCCGGCTAGCAAGGGAAAGACCTCCAGGCCCAGAGTGCAGGCATGTACAGGGCTGAAGCCACAAACCAGACTCTCAGTGCAGCCTTGTAGGCCAGAGGAGGAGCCCTGGCTGCTCACCTGGGAGTCGGCCTCCCCTTCTGGCCTCAGTTGGTCACCAGGAGAGGGTAGACAAACGGTGTTCAGGCAAACTCTCTGGCAGGTCAGATGAAGGACTGAGGGACAGCTCAGGAATGGGGCGCTGTCATCCACAGTGTGTGGGTAAGTTCTCCGACAGGTGAGATAAAGGACCGAGGGACAGCTCAGGAATAGGGCACTGTCATCCACGGTGTGTGGGTAAATTCTCCAACAGGTGAGATGCAGGACCGAAGGACAGCTCAGGAATGGGGCACTGTCATCCACGGTGTGCGGGCAAGTTCTCTGACAGGTGAGATGCAGGAC